GTAGAGACACTACATACTGATATACACCTGAACATCAGCAGGAGAGGACTCTTTAAAGTAGAGACACTACATACTGATATACACCTGAACATCAGCAGGAGAGGACTCTTTAAAGTAGAGACACTACATACTGATATACACCTGAACATCAGCAGGAGAGGACTCTTTAAAGTAGAGACACTACATACTGATATACACCTGAACATCAGCAGGAGAGGACTCTTTAAAGTAGAGACACTACATACTGATATACACCTGAACATCAGCAGGAGAGGACTCTTTAAAGTAGAGACACTACATACTGATATACACCTGAACATCAGCAGGAGAGGACTCTTTAAAGTAGAGACACTACATACTGATATACACCTGAACATCCAGGAGAGGACTCTTTAAAGTAGAGACACTACATACTGATATACACCTGAACATCAGCAGGAGAGGACTCTTTAAAGTAGAGACACTACATACTGATATACACCTGAACATCAGCAGGAGAGGACTCTTTAAAGTAGAGACACTACATACTGATATACACCTGAACATCAGCAGGAGAGGACTCTTTAAAGTAGAGACACTACATACTGATATACACCTGAACATCAGCAGGAGAGGACTCTTTAAAGTAGAGACACTACATACTGATATACACCTGAACATCAGCAGGAGAGGACTCTTTAAAGTAGAGACACTACATACTGATATACACCTGAACATCAGCAGGAGAGGACTCTTTAAAGTAGAGACACTACATACTGATATACACCTGAACAAGAGGAGAGGACTCTTTAAAGTAGAGACAACATACTGATATACACCTGAACATCAGCAGGAGAGGACTCTTTAAAGTAGAGACACTACATACTGATATACACCTGAACATCAGCAGGAGAGGACTCTTTAAAGTAGAGACACTACATACTGATACACCTGAACATCAGCAGGAGAGGACTCTTTAAAGTAGAGACACTATATACTGCAGACTGAGCTTTCAGGATTTTGTCTCGTGTGATTGAGATATTTTACAGATATTAAAAGCATATTGTGAAATGACTCTTCAGCTTTTTGATCTTGAAATGTTTCCATAACCCAGAGTCTCTTCACATGGAAGCGCTTCTGACTCAGAGAACTTTCCTCTCCACGTTTTTCCCATAAATCTCTCTGTTTATACGCTGTGCCGTCTGAGGAATGTGAGGGATTCAGATCATATTTCATCATCCAGTGTGTGTGTGTGTGTGTGTGTGTGGTGTGTGTGTGTGTGTGTGTGTGTGTGTGTGTGTGTTGTGTGGTTGTGTGTGTGTGTGTGTGTGTGTGTGTGTGTGTGTGTGTGTGTGTGTGTGTGTGTGTGTGTGTGTGTGTGTGTGTGTGTGTGTGTGTGTGTGTGTGTGTGTGTGTGTGTGTTGGTGTGTGTGTGTTGCAGTGACTTCATTAGGAAAGAGGATGATGTATTTCTGTCTGAGGTTGCGGAGGTCAGGGGTCACACACATATATACACACACATTACATGTCACTTGTTAGATGCAAAAAGCAATGTATTTCTGTTGGTAGTGTGTTTCGTGCCTGCGTCTTTTTCTCCGGTCGGGTCGTGGAAGACCGGAAGCTGTGGTTCATAAACACATGTTCTAACTCAATATCAAGCCACGATTATTGTTTTTATGTTAAATCGTATAATGTCGGACTTTTTTTGTCGTCTGTGAGGAAAATAAATGTCTCAGAGCCTCAGAATACTGACACCTGTATTTTATTAAATCTCTTTTTCCTTCTAATTTGTTATTCTTTTCTAAATAATACACAATTATCCTTGTTTTTATTTAAAGTATTATTTTCTTTTTTTAAAAATGTTTTTCGGATTTCATATCGCATAAACACCATATCCCAACGTGCATTAAACTAAACAATCCAATCAGCGAGCTTAAACCAAAGCTGAGGATCTTGGGTAATCAGTTCAGTGGCTGTGTTTCTGTTTCCGGTTATTTTTATTTTGAAATTCAGTTCCTGACGGATGTATTCTGAGGCTCTGAGCCATTTATTTTCCTCACAGACGACAACAAAAGTCCGACATTATACAATTTAAAACAAAAGCAATAATCGTGGCTTGATATTAAGACCCGACCGGACAAAAAGACGCAGGCACGAAACATACTACCAATAGAAATACATTGCTTTTAAAATCGTTCTGTGTGACACGAAATGCTGTGAGACTGGGTTGCTATGGAGGTATTTATGACTGTTTCCACATTTATAACAACTGATCAATTATTATTATCATGTACTATTTTATTTTAGTGTTTACATCCAGTGGTTTAAAGTAAGTACAGTTACTTAAGTATTGTATTGAGGTACTTGTACTTATGTTTAGTATTTCAATTTATTCAAACTAGCTGCACCTTTACCAGCTTTGAGAACACTTAATGATCAATCATTATAAAACATATCATATATATTATTCTGAAATGGACCAATCAAACAACGACTACTTTTACTTTAACTAAAGTACAAGATCTGAGTACTTCTCCCTCCTCTGTGTATCATGCATTATACATATATATTAAAGTATGGTGGTAAACAGGGTGTCTCTCTCTCAGCCTCTCTCCATCAGCTGCTGTCAGACTTCGCTGTCGTTCGTCCAATCAGGACCAACGCCGAGGGCCACTTCCTGTCTGCATCAGTCTCCGCCCCCCGCCGCAACAGAAGACACGCCCCCTCCACCGACGACACGCCCTTTGACGTTAACAACCACAGACAAACAGACACGCCCACTTCACACCATGCCCTTCCCACATATGCCTCACCGTCCAATCAGAGAGGCCGTGGCTGGAGGGGGCGGGGTCCCGGGGAGCAGGAGGCAGAGCTCTTCTACAATGTGACGGTGTTCGGCAGGAATCTGCACCTGAGGCTGCGCCCGAACACCCGCCTGCTAGCCCCCGCCGCCACCATGGAGTGGGAGGAGTCAGGGCGACAACACTCTCAGCCAATAGGAGACGCCGGCTGCTTCTACACGGGAGACGTGACCAATATGGAGGACGCATCCGTCGCCATCAGCAACTGTGACGGGCTGGTAGGTGTCAGCTGATGTTTCACTGTGCAGATGTTTCACTGTGTCACAGTACAGATGTGTCACTGTACCTATAGCATTATCACTGTGAAGCATCTGTACAGATGCTTCACAGTGATAATGCTATAGGGTTGTTTTTCTGGGTTGGCCTGGGCCCCTTAGTTCCAGTGAAGCGGGTTTTTCAAAAAAAAGTAAATTCTGCAAAGAAAATCTACATTTTGAGAAAAATGTCAAAATTCTGGGAAGAATGTAATTTCTAACAAAAAAGGAAATTTTGAGAAAAAAGTAAATTTCGAGAAAAAAGTTGAATGGGCTAAATGTCCCACAGACAGACTCCAACATCAATAGAAAGCCTTCCCAGAAGAGTGGAAGCTGTTAGAGCTGCAAAGAGGACCAACTGCATGTTCATTAGGAATGGGATCAAAGCTCCTAGTTTCAAACACTTCAGTCCATGTGGCGTAGTGTTTCTGAAAGAACACAGATGTGAAAGGCGGTCAGAGAAAGGAGCTGAAACAGATCACTGCTTACAGCGGACTGAGTGAATCCAGATGTGGAGGAAGGATGAGAGGCGTTCAAGGGTTTGCTGCTGTGTCCTACATGCTGCTGTGTCCTACATGCTGCTGTGTCCTACGTGTCGCTGTGTCCTACATGCTGCTGTGTGCTACATGTTGCTGTGTCCTACATGCTGCTGTGTGCTACATGTTGCTGTGTCCTACATGCTGCTGTGTGCTACATGTTGCTGTGTCCTACATGCTGCTGTGTGCTACATGCTGCTGTGTCCTACATGTTGCTGTGTCCTACATGCTGCTGTGTGCTACATGTTGCTGTGTCCTACATGCTGCTGTGTGCTACATGTTGCTGTGTCCTACATGTCGCTGTGTCCTACATGCCGCTGTATGCTACATGTTGCTGTGTCCTACATGCTGCTGTGTCCTACATGTTGCTGTGTCCTACATAATCATTAATAATTCCTTACATTTATTATAGCGCTTTATCAATGACTCAAAGCGCTTTACATATACACACATTACACATATTTTATACATGCAATGGTCAGATACTGTGGACAATACCCACAGGAGCAAGTTCAGGTGAAGTGTCTTGCCCAAGGACACACCGGCTTTACAGACGCAGCAGCGACGGGTTTCACCCCTTGATCTGATGATCATTGCATAGCGCACTGCGCCACACCGTCCATCTTCACGCCTCGAGGTCATCGAGGCGCTTTTACAAGTACACATTAGTATCATACATGTACTGTGGACATTACCCACAGGAGCAAATCCGGGTGAAGTGTCTTGCCCAAGGACACAACGGCCTGACGCAGTGGCGGCAGGAGCGGGTTTCGAACTGGAGTTCCCCAGCACTCCCCTTGATCTGATGATCGGATGCACAGACCACTGCGCCACCCGTCCCTTATATGCTGCTGTGTCCTACATGCTGCTGTGTCCTACATGCTGCTGTGTCCTACATGTTGCTGTGTCCTACATGCTGCTGTGTGCTACATGCTGCTGTGTCCTACATGTTGCTGTGTCCTACATGCTGCTGTGTGCTACATGCTGCTGTGTCCTACATGTTGCTGTGTCCTACATGCTGCTGTGTGCTACATGCTGCTGTGTCCTACATGTTGCTGTGTCCTACATGCTGCTGTGTCCTACATGTTGCTGTGTCATACATGCTGCTGTGTGCTACATGTTGCTGTGTCCTACATGTCGCTGTGTCCTACATGTTGCTGTATGCTACATGTTGCTGTGTCCTACATGCTGCTGTGTCCTACATGCTGCTGTGTCCTACATGTTGCTGTGTCCTACATGCTGCTGTGTGCTACATGTTGCTGTGTCCTACATGTCGCTGTGTCCTACATGTTGCTGTATGCTACATGTTGCTGTGTCCTACATGCTGCTGTGTCCTACATGCTGCTGTGTCCTACATGTCGCTGGGTCCTACATGCTGCTGTGTCCTACATGCTGCTGTGTCCTACATGTTGCTGTGTGCTACATGTTGCTGTGTCCTACATGCTGCTGTGTCCTACATGCTGCTGTGTCCTACATGTCGCTGGGTCCTACATGCTGCTGTGTCCTACATGCTGCTGTGTCCTACATGCTGCTGTGTCCTACATGTTGCTGTGTCCTACATGCTGCTGTGTCCTACATGCTGCTGTGTCCTACATGCTGCTGTGTCCTACATGCTGCTGTGTCCTACATGCTGCTGTGTCCTACATGCTGCTGTGTCCTACATGCTGCTGTGTCCTACATGCTGCTGTGTCCTACATGCTGCTGTGTCCTACATGCTGCTGTGTCCTACATGTCGCTGGGTCCTACATGCTGCTGTGTCCTACATGCTGCTGTGTCCTACATGCTGCTGTGTCCTACATGTTGCTGTGTCCTACATGCTGCTGTGTCCTACATGCTGCTGTGTCCTACATGTCGCTGTGTCCTACATGCTGCTGTGTCCTAAATGCTGTGTCCTATCTTCTTCATTAACGCTGACTCTCTTCATGTGCAGGCCGGGATGATCCGGACGGGTCAGGAGGAGTTCTTCATCGAGCCGCTGGATCGATGGAGGACAGGAAGAGCAGAAGAGGAAGAGGAAGAGGAAGTAGAAGGAAGACGACACATCGTTTATCGCTCGTCGGCCATCATTAAGAAACAACCAGCTGTCAATCAAACGGCTGAAGACTTCCTCCGAGGTGAGTTCATCTCATCTGTGACCCGCTCTATCAGTCGGAGGTCCCAACGGCTCATTTCAAAATAAACGTGGATTTTCCTAAAAAAATAGTTGTTCGGATGTTTAGTTTGATTTGAGCAAAGTGTTGGCTTTCAGAATATGAAGCTTGTATTTCCAAAATCACACGATAAATACATTGAAGCTTGTGAAGGGAAGAAGACGGCTCTCACTCCACTCTGCTGTTCCGCAGCGCCGCCCCCCCTCCCTCCGCTGACAGTATGAATGTAAGGCGTATAGTGATCATAGATAACACGGCAGGGTCCGTTACAGTTTGTTTTTATCTGATTTGAAATAAACAAAGTCTTTCAGAATATTAAACTTGTTTCGCCAAATTCAGATGATAAATACAACTTTGAATCTTTGGCATAATTACAAGCGGAGAACGGAGTAACGTGAAGTCACAGCAGGCAAAACAACAGCCGGTGTTTCTCCTGAGAGTTTTCCCCGGGAAACAAACACAATACACACAAAGCAAAATTACACAAACACACACACGCGTACACACACACACACACACACACACACACACACACACACACACACACACACACACACACACACACTGGCGAGTTTCCCCCAGACCAGTAATCCAAACGAAAATATCTTCCCTCCGTAGTATTTTGATCATTTATTAATAATCAAAGAGATCGATCCAGAGAAGAGGAAACTTTGAAGGCCTTTCTCTCAAAATGATGACTCGTGACAATCATTATATAATGTGACATCTTTTGCTTAATATTTAGAGTAGAACAACAATCCTGATATCATTAGGAAGCTTGGAATATCCTCTTTCCAGCAGGGTATACAGCTCAAAATGTGTCTTCGGGTCAATGCGACAGATTTCGATAGAGCACGTTACAAATATAATCTCACAGTAGTCTCTTCTTTTCAAACTAACTTCCTACAGAGTGACCCTGAGGGCAGCATCTCCTGGTCCAATGGGATTCCTCGATGTGATTTTGGATCATGTAAAAAATTATCTCCGAGTCAAACAAACGTTTAGTTCAGCAGGATAATCTCCATTAACACCACTTTATGATTTCTGAAGTAAAGAGCTAATGTTGGGCTATAAAGGAACTACAGCACGGTCACATGACTTCACGTCACCACCGCTAAGCTAAAGGAGGCTAATGTTGGGCTATAAAGGAACTACAGCACGGTCACATGACTTCACGTCACCACCGCTAAGCTAAAGGAGGCTAATGTTGGGCTATAAAGGAACTACAGCACGGTCACATGACTTCACGTCACCACCGCTAAGCTAAAGGAGGCTGATGTTGGGCTATAAAGGAACTACAGCACGGTCACATGACTTCACGTCACCACCGCTAAGCTAAAGGAGGCTAATGTTGGGCTATAAAGGAACTACAGCAGGGTCACATGACTTCACGTCACCACCGCTAAGCTAAAGGAGGCTGATGTTGGGCTATAAAGGAACTACAGCACGGTCACCTGACTTCACGTCACCACCGCTAAGCTAAAGGTGGCTAATGTTGGGCTATAAAGGAACTACAGCACGGTCACATGACTTCACGTCACCACCGCTAAGCTAAAGGCTGCTAATGTTGGGCTATAAAGGAACTACAGCACGGTCACATGACTTCACGTCACCACCGCTAAGCTAAAGGCGGCTAATGTTGGGCTATAAAGGAACTACAGCACGGTCACATGACTTCACGTCACCACCGCTAAGCTAAAGGCGGCTAATGTTGGGCTATAAAGGAACTACAGCACGGTCACATGACTTCACGTCACCACCGCTAAGCTAAAGGCGGCTAATGTTGGGCTATAAAGGAACTACAGCACGGTCACATGACTTCACGTCACCACCGCTAAGCTAAAGGAGGCTAATGTTGGGATGTAAAGGAACTACAGCACGGTCACATGACTTCACGTCACCACCGCTAAGCTAAAGGCGGCTAATGTTGGGCTATAAAGGAACTACAGCACGGTCACATGACTTCACGTCACCACCGCTAAGCTAAAGGCGGCTAATGTTGGGCTATAAAGGAACTACAGCACGGTCACATGACTTCAGGTCACCACCGCTAAGCTAAAGGCGGCTAATGTTGGGCTATAAAGGAACTACAGCACGGTCACATGACTTCACGTCACCACCGCTAAGCTAAAGGTGGCTAATGTTGGGCTATAAAGGAACTACAGCACGGTCACATGACTTCACGTCACCACCGCTAAGCTAAAGGAGGCTAATGTTGGGCTGTAAAGGAACTACAGCACGGTCACATGACTTCACGTCACCACCGCTAAGCTAAAGGCGGCTAATGTTGGGCTATAAAGGAACTACAGCACGGTCACATGACTTCACGTCACCACCGCTAAGCTAAAGGCGGCTAATGTTGGGCTATAAAGGAACTACAGCACGGTCACATGACTTGATACATATTTAGTGCAGTGTCGAGGTTGTGAATAAGTGGTGTATTTTTTCTCAGTGTAGCTGCAGAATGAGAAGATCAAACTAACACATACACACACACACACACTCTCTCTCACACACACACACTCACACATACACACACACACTCACACTCACACATACACACACACACACTCTCTCTCACACACACACACTCACACAGGCTTATGTTTCGAACACAGAAACACATGTTCATAACTCAGGACCACAGAGGACTGAGTTCCACCTGAACATCAAACAGAACCAAAGCGTGGACGTTGACCTGAAAGCTCGGCAGCTCATAGCATCTGACAATGAGTGTTTAAGAGACCTCATTCCAGCACCAGTATTCGCTGGCCGGGTCCAGCGTGACTCTGTTTCTGTCCTCCGGTCCAGCGTGACTCCGCCGGGTTGAGACTGATCAACAGGAAACAACAGGAATGTTTTGATCAGTGAGGACGCTGAGAGCCAGGGTCTCTCAGACACTGATCATCGTTAAGCCTGACTACCCACAAACCGTTTAACACAAGGGACGTTCCCGCCGGTTTGTGGACGCAACCTCACCATCTTGGTTTTTGGTCGTCTCCTTGACTTCCTGTTTCTTCACTGCTTGATCCTTTTCTACCCCCCCTGTTCAGATACTGTCCTCATGAAGGTCTTTGAGGACAGGCAGAGTGATGTTGGTCTTTGTGTCCCTGCAGGTCCTCTGTTAGGCTCTCTGAACCTCACACAGGACGTTTGGACCGGATCCAGATCCGCTCGACACCGGCGCTACATCGAAGAGGCCGAAGAGTTCAACATCGAGGTAAATAAAGAGTTCAACATCGAGGTTACTGAATTGTTTTAGGAAGCGGCTGATGAACTGTTTTAGGAAGCGGCTGATGAACTGTTTTAGGAAGCGGCTGATGAACGGTTTTAGGAAGCGGCTGATGAACTGTTTTAGGAAGCGGCTGATGAACTGTTTTAGGAAGCGGTTGATGAACTGTTTTAGGAAGCGGCTGATGAACTGTTTTAGGATGCGGCTGATGAACTGTTTTAGGAAGCGGCTGATGAACTGTTTTAGGAAGCGGCTGATGAACGGTTTTAGGAAGCGGCTGATGAACTGTTTTAGGAAGCGGTTGATGAACTGTTTTAGGAAGCGGTTGATGAACTGTTTAGGAAGCGGCTGATGAACAGTTTAGGAAGCGGCTTGATGAACTGTTTTAGGAAGCGTTTGATGAACTGTTTTAGGAAGCGGCTGATGAACTGTTTTAGGAAGATGAACTGTTTAGGAAGCGGTTGATGAACTGTTTTAGGAAGCGGCTGATGAACTGTTTTAGGAAGCGGCTGATGAACTGTTTTAGGAAGATGAACTGTTTTAGGAAGCGGTTGATGAACTGTTTTAGGAAGCGGCTGATGAACTGTTTTAGGAAGCGGCTGATGAACTGTTTTAGGAAGCGGTTGATGAACTGTTTTAGGAAGCGGCTGATTAACTGTTTTAGGAAGCGGTTGATGAACTGTTTTAGGAAGCGGTTGATGAACTGTTTAGGAAGCGGTTTGATGAACTGTTTTTAGGAAGCGGCTGATGAACTGTTTTAGGAAGCGGTTGATGAACTGTTTTAGGAAGATGAACTGTTTTAGGAAGCGGTTGATGAACTGTTTTAGGAAGCGGTTGATGAACTGTTTTAGGAAGCGGCTGATGAACTGTTTTAGGAAGTGGTTGATTAACTGTTTTAGGAAGCAGCTGATGAACTGTTTTAGGAAGATGAATTGTTTTAGGAAGCGGTTGATGAACTGTTTTAGGAAGCGGCTGATGAACTGTTTTAGGAAGTGGCTGATGAACTGTTTTAGGAAGCGGTTGATGAACTGTTTTAGGAAGCGGCTGATGAACTGTTTTAGGAAGCGGCTGATGAACTGTTTTAGGAAGCGGCTGATGAACAGTTTTAGGAAGCGGTTGATGAACTGTTTTAGGAAGCGGCTGATGAACTGTTTTAGGAAGATGAACTGTTTTAGGAAGCGGTTGATGAACTGTTTTAGGAAGCGGCTGATGAACTGTTTTAGGAAGCGGCTGATGAACTGTTTTAGGAAGCGGCTGATTAACTGTTTTAGGAAGCGGTTGATGAACTGTTTTAGGAAGCGGCTGATGAACTGTTTTAGGAAGCGGTTGATGAACTGTTTTAGGAAGCGGTTGATGAACTGTTTTAGGAAGCGGTTGATGAACTGTTTTTAGGAAGATGAACTGTTTAGGAAGCGGTTGATGAACTGTTTTAGGAAGCGGCTGATGAACTGTTTTAGGATGCGGCTGATGAACGGTTTTAGGAAGCGGCTGATGAACTGTTTTTAGGAAGCGGTTGATGAACTGTTTTAGGAAGCGGCTGATTAACTGTTTAGTAAGCGGTTGATGAACTGTTTTAGGGAAGCGGCTGATGAACTGTTTTAGGAAGCGGTTGATGAACTGTTTTAGGAAGCGGCTGATTAACTGTTTTAGGGAAGCGGCTGATGAACTGTTTTAGGAAGCGGTTGATGAACTGTTTTAGGAAGCGGCTGATGAACAGTTTTAGGAAGCGGCTGATGAAACTGTTTTAGGAAGCGGTTGATGAACTGTTTTAGGAGCGGCTGATGACTGTTTAGGAAATGAACTGTTTTAGGAAAGCGTGTGATGAACTGTTTAGGAAGCGGCTGATGACCTGTTGTAGGAAGCGTCTGAGGAACTGTTTTAGGGAAGCGGCTGATGAACTGTTTTAGGAAGCGGTTGATGAACTGTTTTAGGAAGCGGCTGATTAACTGTTTTAGGAAGCGGCTGATGAACTGTTTTTAGGAAGCGGCTGATGAACTGTTTTAGGAAGCGTTGATGAACTGTTTTAGGAAGCGGCTGATGAACTGTTTTAGGAAGATGAACTGTTTTAGGAAGCGGTTGATGAACTGTTTTAGAAGCGGTTGATGAACTGTTTTAGGGAAGCGGCTGATGAACTGTTTTAGGAAGCGTTGATGAACTGTTTTTAGGGAAGCGGTTGATGAACTGTTTTAGGAAGCGGCTGATGAACGGTTTTAGGAAGCGGCTGATGAACTGTTTTAGGAAGCGGCTGATGAACGGTTTTAGGAAGCGGCTGATGAACTGTTTTAGGAAGCGGCTGATGAACTGTTTTAGGAAGCGGCTGATGAACTGTTTTAGGATGCGGCTGATGAACTGTTTTAGGAAGCGGCTGATGAACTGTTTTAGGAAGCGGCTGATGAACGGTTTTAGGAAGCGGCTGATGAACTGTTTTAGGAAGCGGCTGATGAACTGTTTTAGGAAGCGGTTGATGAACTGTTTTAGGAAGCGGCTGATGAACTGTTTTAGGATGCGGCTGATGAACTGTTTTAGGAAGCGGCTGATTAACTGTTTTAGGAAGCGGCTGATGAACTGTTTTAGGAAGCGGTTGATGAACTGTTTTAGGAAGCGGTTGATGAACTGTTTTAGGAAGCGGCTGATGAACAGTTTTAGGAAGCGGCTGATGAACTGTTTTAGGAAGCGGTTGATGAACTGTTTTAGGAAGCGGCTGATGAACTGTTTTAGGAAGATGAACTGTTTTAGGAAGCGGTTGATGAACTGTTTTAGGAAGCGGCTGATGAACTGTTTTAGGAAGCGGCTGATGAACTGTTTTAGGAAGATGAACTGTTTTAGGAAGCGGTTGATGAACTGTTTTAGGAAGCGGCTGATGAACTGTTTTAGGAAGCGGCTGATGAACTGTTTTAGGAAGCGGTTGATGAACTGTTTTAGGAAGCGGCTGATTAACTGTTTTAGGAAGCGGTTGATGAACTGTTTTAGGAAGCGGTTGATGAACTGTTTTAGGAAGCGGTTGATGAACTGTTTTAGGAAGCGGCTGATGAACTGTTTTAGGAAGCGGTTGATGAACTGTTTTAGGAAGATGAACTGTTTTAGGAAGCGGTTGATGAACTGTTTTAGGAAGCGGTTGATGAACTGTTTTAGGAAGCGGCTGATGAACAGTTTTAGGAAGCGGCTGATGAACTGTTTTAGGAAGTGGTTGATTAACTGTTTTAGGAAGCAGCTGATGAACTGTTTTAGGAAGATGAACTGTTTTAGGAAGCGGTTGATGAACTGTTTTAGGAAGCGGCTGATGAACTGTTTTAGGAAGTGGCTGATGAACTGTTTTAGGAAGCGGTTGATGAACTGTTTTAGGAAGCGGCTGATGAACTGTTTTAGGAAGCGGCTGATGAACTGTTTTAGGAAGCGGCTGATGAACAGTTTTAGGAAGCGGTTGATGAACTGTTTTAGGAAGCGGCTGATGAACTGTTTTAGGAAGATGAACTGTTTTAGGAAGCGGTTGATGAACTGTTTTAGGAAGCGGCTGATGAACTGTTTTAGGAAGCGGCTGATGAACTGTTTTAGGAAGCGGTTGATGAACTGTTTTAGGAAGCGGCTGATTAACTGTTTTAGGAAGCGGTTGATGAACTGTTTTAGGAAGCGGCTGATGAACTGTTTTAGGAAGCGGTTGATGAACTGTTTTAGGAAGCGGTTGATGAACTGTTTTAGGAAGCGGTTGATGAACTGTTTTAGGAAGATGAACTGTTTTAGGAAGCGGTTGATGAACTGTTTTAGGAAGCGGCTGATGAACTGTTTTAGGATGCGGCTGATGAACGGTTTTAGGAAGCGGCTGATGAACTGTTTTAGGAAGCGGTTGATGAACTGTTTTAGGAAGCGGCTGATGAACTGTTTTAGTAAGCGGTTGATGAATTGTTTTAGGAAGCGGCTGATGAACTGTTTTAGGAAGCGGTTGATGAACTGTTTTAGGAAGCGGCTGATTAACTGTTTTAGGAAGCGGCTGATGAACTGTTTTAGGAAGCGGTTGATGAACTGTTTTAGGAAGCGGCTGATGAACAGTTTTAGGAAGCGGCTGATGAACTGTTTTAGGAAGCGGTTGATGAACTGTTTTAGGAAGCGGCTGATGAACTGTTTTAGGAAGATGAACTGTTTTAGGAAGCGGTTGATGAACTGTTTTAGGAAGCGGCTGATGAACTGTTTTAGGAAGCGGCTGATGAACGGTTTTAGGAAGCGGCTGATGAACTGTTTTAGGAAGCGGCTGATGAACTGTTTTAGGAAGCGGTTGATGAACTGTTTTAGGAAGCGGCTGATGAACTGTTTTAGGAAGCGGTTGATGAACTGTTTTAGGAAGCGGTTGATGAACTGTTTTAGGAAGCGGCTGATTAACTGTTTTAGGAAGCGGTTGATGAACTGTTTTAGGAAGCGGTTGATGAACTGTTTTAGGAAGCGGCTGATGAACTGTTTTAGGAAGCGGTTGATGAACTGTTTTAGGAAGCGGTTGATGAACTGTTTTAGGAAGATGAACTGTTTTAGGAAGCGGTTGATGAACTGTTTTAGGAAGCGGTTGATGAACTGTTTTAGGAAGCGGCTGATGAACAGTTTTAGGAAGCGGTTGATGAACTGTTTTAGGAAGCGGCTGATGAACTGTTTTAGGAAGATGAACTGTTTTAGGAAGCGGTTGATGAACTGTTTTAGGAAGCGGCTGATGAACTGTTTTAGGAAGCGGTTGATGAACTGTTCTAGGAAGCGGCTGATGAACTGTTCTAGGAAGCGGCTGATGAACTGTTTTAGGAAGCGGCTGATGAACAGTTTTTAGGAAGCGGCTGATGAACTGTTTATAGGAAGCGGCTGATGAAACTGTTTTAGGAGGAAGCGGCTGATGAACTGTTTTAGGAAGCGGCCGGATGAAACTGCTTTAGGAAGCGGTTGATGAACTGTTTTAGGAAGGCGGCCGATGACTGTTTTTAGGAAGCGGCCGATGAACTGTTTTTAGGAAGCGGCCGATGAACTTTTTTAGGAAGCGGCCGATTAACTGTTTTAGGAAGCGGCCGATGAACTGCTTTTAGGAAGCGGTCCGATGAACTGTTTTATAGGAAGCGGCCGATGAACTGTTTTAGGAAGCGGCCGATGAACTGTTTAGGAAGCGGCCGAGGAACTGTTCTAGGAAGCGGCGATGAACTGTTTTAGGGAAGCGGTCGATGAACTGTTTTAGGAAGGCGGGTCGGATGAACTTTTGTTTTAGGAAGCGGCCGATGAACTGTTTTAGGAAGCGGCCGATGAACTGTTTTAGGAAGCGGTCGATGAACTGTTTTAGGAAGCGGCCGATGAACTGTTTTAGGAAGCGGCTGATGAACTGTTTTAGGAAGCGGCCGATGAACTGTTTTAGGAAGCGGCCGATGAACTGTTTTAGGAAGCGGCCGATGAACTGTTTTAGGAAGCGGTCGATGAACTGTTTAGGAAGCGCCGATTAACTGTTTTAGGAAGCGGGCCGATGAACTGTTTTAGGAAGCGGTTGATGAACTGTTTTAGGATGCGGCTGATGAACTGTTTTAGGATTCGGCTGATGAACTGTTTTAGGAAGCGGCTGATGAACTGTTTTAGGATGCGGCTGATGAACTGTTTTAGGAAGCGGCTGATGAACTGTTTTAGGAAGCGGCTGATGAACTGTTTTAGGAAGCGGTTGATGAACTGTTTTAGGAAGCGGCTGATGAACTGTTTTAGGAAGCGGTTGATGAACTGTTTTAGGAAGCGGTTGATGAACTGTTGAATGAACTGATTGACCTCTTCTGTTTCCTCCTGCAGGTTTTGTTAGCAGTGGATTATTCCGTTCTTCTCTTCCACGGTCGAGACCACATTCAGAAATATCTCCTGACCCTCATGAACATAGTGAGTGGAAACATGCTCTGATTCTTAATTCTGTGGTGAAAGTGAACGGAAAGCTGGTCTTCAATATGGCTCCGAACCGGCCCTGGAGCCAGATGGTATACGTCTCAAGTGAGAGGAAACAGCTGGTGGACTTGACAGGGGACTAACTAACATATCTTTATTATTTTAAACTAACAGCCCCGTAAGTTAAACCTGTGTTCACCCAATAACACAAATCAACGTTCATAGAGATTCAGGTCCTGATGTCTGATTCCAGAACAGAGAAGGAGCTTGAACTGGAGTGTAAAGAAAGCACTGACTGAGAGTTTGATCACAGGTCTTTTAGTAACAAGTTGGTCCAGGTCTAACTAAACTTTCCACTGTGGATCTAAAGACAGATTCCTCTCCTCAGACATCCAGAAACACTTCTCTGTAAAGTCTTCAGAGAGAGTGAGCCCCATGCAGGTCTGCAGTCTGTGCTGAGGACAGTGTGTGGGCCTCATCCCCGAGGGGGGGGGGGGGGTATAAAGCTCTCAGACAGAATCCAGATGCTCCCAGGTCAGATCGCTGTGTTTCTAAAGCTCTGCAGGATGCAGGAGGACATCAGAGAAAACATCTGGACATTTAACTAATGCGTCATGAAATCCCAAGTCCAGCTGCACAGAGCCTCAGAACCTCCGAGACTAAGGATCAGCAACACCCAGAGACACACAGAGCCTCAGAACCATCACTTGAGAAACCCAGCAGATTTATGAATAACATTTACCTGCAAGGACACCTGACAAAGCCACCAAGCAACTGGAGGTCATTTCAGTCTGACTAACTTCTGTCTGTCTAGATCACACAAAGCATCGTTATTTAATGAACGGGGAGAGACAGATGTTTAGACATGCAGCGTGTTGTTGGAGGGTAAAGTTACTGCACGTCTAACCAACCCATACAAACTGTAATCTGACCCAAAGTCCGGCTGAACTTCCTCCGTGAGTCTCAGCTGGACCCAAAGTGGATTTATTACCTCTCTATTGGGGGGGGGGGGGGGGGGGGGGGGGTCCAGGCTGCTGAGGGTCAAAGGTCACCCAGCAGGGGATCAATGCCCAGTTAGAACCAGAAACCTGATTCTGTCTGTTCTCTGAGCCGAAGACCTCACCATGTGTGCGTCACTCTTTAGTGTCCCCCGGTCTCCCAGCTGTGTGCGTCACTCTTTAGTGTCCCCTGGTCTCCAGCTGTGTGCCTCACTCTTTAGTGTCCCCTGGTCTCCAGTTGTGTGCGTCACTCTTTAGTGTCCCCTGGTCTCTAGCTGTGTGCATCACTCTTTAGTGTCCCCAGGTCTCCAGCTGTGTGCGTCACTCTTTAGTGTCCCCAGGTCTCCAGCTGTGTGCGTCACTCTTTAGCGTCAAATCAAATCAAGTTTTATTTATATAGCACATTTATAAAGGATGTTTGGTGGAGCCAAAGTGCTGAACATATAATAAAAATAGCCTACAGTAGAGACGCTTTACAGCAAATACAACAGCACAGACCCTCTGTCCTCAGACCCTCTGTCCTTAGACCCTCTGTCCTTAGACCTCTGTCCTCAGACCCTCTGTCCTCAGACCCTCTGTCCTTAGACCCTCTGTCCTCAGACCCTCTGTCCTTAGACCCTCTGTCCTCAGACCCTCTGTCCTCAGACCCTCTGTCCTTAGACCCTCTGTCCTTAGACCCTCTGTCCTCAGACCCTCTGTCCTTAGACCCTTTGTCCTTAGACCCTCTGTCCTCAGACCCTCTGTCCTTAGACCCTCACATCGTACAAGGAAAAACTTCCAGAGAAAACCCACAGTTTAAGGGGAAAAAATGACCCCTGGTCTCCCAGCTGTGTGCGTCACTCTTTAGTGTCCCCTGGTCTCCAGCTGTGTGCGTCACTCTTTAGTGTCCCCTGGTCTCCAGCTGTGTGCGTCACTCTTTAGTGTCCCCTGGTCTCCAGCTGTGTGCGTCACTCTTTAGTGTCCCCTGGTCTCCAGCTGTGTGCGTCACTCTTTAGTGTCCCCTGGTCTCCCAGCTGTGTGCGTCACTCTTTAGTGTCCCCTGGTCTCCCAGCTGTGTGCGTCACTCTTTAGTGTCCCCTGGTCTTCTAGCTGTGTGCGTCACCCTTTAGTGTCCCCTGGTCTCCCAGCTGTGTGCGTCACTCTTTAGTGTCCCCTGGTCTTCTAGCTGTGTGCGTCACTCTTTAGTGTCCCCTGGTCTTCTAGCTGTGTGCGTCACTCTTTAGTGTCCCCTGGTCTCCCAGCTGTGTGCGTCACTCTTTAGTGTCCCCTGGTCTTCTAGCTGTGTGCGTCACTCTTTAGTGTCCCCTGGTCTTCTAGCTGTGTGCGTCACTCTTTAGTGTCCCCTGGTCTTCTAGCTGTGTGCGTCACTCTTTAGTGTCCCCTGGTCTTCTAGCTGTGTGCGTCACTCTTTAGTGTCCCCTGGTCTTCTCGCTGTGTGCGCTTTTAGTAAACGCTGCCTTGTCTCCTCAAGTTGCTGAATGTTTTCTAAATGCTGTATGTGTTGTTGCTGAAGATGTTTCTTCATGAGTACAGGAACATTTGTGTTTTCAGAGTAGATGGAGTAATGTTTGCCCCCCCCCCCCCCTCTGTGATTCAGGTTAATGAGATCTATCAAGATCACTCTCTGGGCGCCAACATCAACGTAGTGCTGGTCCGGATCGTCATGCTGTCTCCATCCAAGGTACGAACTCTGCTGTAAGAGACTCAGCAGGTCCCTGTGTGACTCAGGAGGTCCCTGTGTGACTCAGGAGGTCCCTGTGTGACTCAGCAGGTCCCTGTGTGACTCAGGAGGTCCCTGTGTGACTCAGGAGGTCCCTGTTTGACTCAGCAGGTCCCTGTTTGACTCAGCAGGTCCCTGTGTGACTCAGCAGGTCCCTGTGTGACTCAGGAGGTCCCTGTGTGACTCAGGAGGTCCCTGTGTGACTCAGCAGGTCCCTGTGTGACTCAGGAGATCCCTGTGTGTCTCAGGAGGTCCCTGTGTGACTCAGCAGGTCCCTGTGGGACTCAGGAGGTCCCTGTGTGACTCAGCAGGTCCCTGTGTGACTCAGCAGGTCCCTGTGTGACTCAGCAGGTCCCTGTGTGACTCAGCAGGTCCCTGTGTGACTTAGCAGGTCCCTGTGTGACCCAGGAGGTCCCTGTGTGACTCAGCAGGTCCCTGTGTGACTCAGCAGGTCCCTGTGTGACTCAGCAGGTCCCTGTGTGACTTAGCAGGTCCCTGTGTGACCCAGGAGGTCCCTGTGTGACTCAGCAGGTCCCTCTGTGACTCAGGAGGTCCCTGTGTGACTCAGCAGGTCCCTGTGTAGCTCAGGAGGTCCCTGTGTGACTCAGCAGGTCCCTGTGTGACTCAGCAGGTCCCTGTGTGACTCAGGAGGTCCTCAGAGATGGAGCTTCCAGATGTTCCCAACAAAGAGCGATGAAGAGGATTCAGGTCCAAAAGTGTAGCATGTCAGCTAGTTCACTGAAGGTGCTGGGAGGCTGTGGCTCAGTGGGGAAGTGCGTTGATCTTGGGATCAGGGGAGCACTGGTTCAATTCCGCTGCAGTCAGCATGTCGTTGTGTCCCTGGAGACAATACAGCTTTATTTAGAAAGCACTTCAAACGCTCCAGACCAAAGTGCTGCACAGTCAAGATCACACAGCTCCGCTCACACACCGTGAAACAAGTCAAAAGAACAGACCATTTAAAAGCAACTCCAGCCCAAGTTGCTCCTGTGGGGATTGTCCCCAGTACTGATGTGTCAGTCTCTCGTGTTCCTCTTCAGTCTCAGCAGCTGATCTCCGTGGGGAACCCTCAGAAGAGCCTGGAGAATGTGTGCGGCTGGTCCTACCTCCAGCAGAGAGAGCAGAGCCACGCCGAGCAGCACGACCACACCGTGTACCTGACCAGGCAGGAGTTCGGGCCCTCGGGCATGCAGGGTATACTCATTAAACTAACAAGTACTTATACTACAAGTACTAATACTACAAGTACTAATACTACAAGTACTAATACTAACACCATCTCCCTGACCCCTGACCTCTAACCTCTGCAGGTTATGCTCCAGTTAAAGGAATGTGTCAGCTGCACCGGAGCTGTGTCCTCGTCCTCGAAGACGGATTCTCCTCAGCCTTCGTCGCTGCTCATGAAACGGGACACGTGTGAGACGCACACACAGACACACACACACAGACACACACACACTGCAACAATCAGCTATAACTCACAGGTGTCCACGTAGAGACGATAACGACTCGTAGAGACCATAACGACTCGTAGGTGTCCTCGTAGAGACCATAACGACTCGTTGAGACCATAACGACTCGCAGGTGTCCTCATAGAGACCATAACGACTCGTTGAGACCATAACGACTCGCAGGTGTCCTCATAGAGACCATAACGACTCGCAGGTGTCCTCATAGAGACCATAACGACTCGTTGAGACCATAACGACTCGCAGGTGTCCTCGTAGAGACCATAACGACTCGCAGGTGTCCTCGTAGAGATCATAAAGACTTGCAGGTGTCCTCGTAGAGATGCTAACTGGTGTCCAGTGTGAATGAAACTGACCTCCAGGTGTCTCTTGTCTGTCCCTGTCTCTCAGGCTGGGGATGGAGCATGACGGAGAGGCGAACGCCTGCGAGGACGACGTCCCGCTGGGCAGCATCATGTCCCCGAGGGTCCAGGCCACCTTCCACCGGTACCACTGGTCCCGCTGCAGCTGGAAGGAGCTGCACACCTACCTGAAGTGAGTCCTGAGGACAGAGAACCACAGGGACACTCAGGACGTCTCACACGGAGACATGTGTTTCTGAACGATGTTAAAGGTCACCTATCGTGCAAAATCCACTTGTTCATGTCTTTTATACATCAGCATGTGTCCCCTCTGTGTAAAGAGACTCTCTCTTTACACAGACATGTGTCCCCTCTTCTTCATGTCTCTTCTACATCACCATGTGTCCCCTCTTCTTCATGTCTCTTCTACATCACCATGTGTCCCCTCTTCTTCATGTCTCTTCTACATCAACATGTGTCCCCTCTTCTTCATGTCTCTTCTACATCAACACGTGTCCCCTCTTCTTCATGTCTCTTCTACATCAACATGTGTCCCCTCTTCTTCATGTCTCTTCTACATCAACATGTGTCCCCTCTTCTCCATGTCTCTTCTACATCAACATGTGTCCCCTCTTCTTCATTACATTACATTGCATTTAGCTGACGCTTTTATCCAAAGCGACTTACAATAAGTGCGTTCGACCAGGAAGACACAACCTTGAAGAAAACAGAATCATAAAGTACATCAGGTTTCATAGAGCAAAAACATTTCAAGTGCTACTCAACTGGCTTTAGGTAAGCCAGTCCTTTATTAGTATATAAGTGCTTTGTTAATAGTTCTAACGCTGGAAGTGGAGTCGAAAGAGATGAGTTTTCAGTCTGGAAGGTGTGTAAGCTTTCTGCTGTCCTGATGTCAATGGGGAGCTCATTCCACCATCTTGGAGCCAGGATAGCAAACCCACGTGTTTCTGAGGATGGGAACATGATGAATATGCTCACCTTAGCTGTTGTTCTGTTCAATGGCATTAAAACGAGAAAAAGGGTTTTCATATTAGCTGCTAATGATAGCTTCCAGAGTGTATGATTCTTTTGGGTATTCTGGCTACGCGTCACTCTCACTCCTTATTTGGTAAAGTGTGTGTGTATGTGGGAGTTCCCTTCGATTCTATTGGCTCTAACGGTCAGAAAGAGATGTCAATCCTCAAAATCGACCAATGGGTTCCAGAGAAACGGCAAAACCCCTATTTCCACCCAAATCACCTCAGAGGTGGAGTTTTTTTTTGCTAAACCTCTAAAAAGGTGAAATGTCACTTGTTTTGCATCAATCTTGATACAGGGTTATTATATGTTGTACTTTGGATTCCTAAAGCTGTCACTACAGGCATACAAAAATCTTGAAGCTGGGCGTGTCTGAGGCTTGGCGATTTCTCGCGCCCAACGCGACCAACAACCAATCACATGAATCTCCCGCCCCCGGCATACAAAGCAATAGCAATGTTAACACGAAGCAAACTGGATATAAAATCCCCAAACAGGCGAAAACCTACCAGTTCCACCCACTGTCTCTGCCTCCTCCCTCCATGCCTCGCTCCTCCGGTTTGTATCCCGGTAGATGAACAGAGACTGATCAAACAGCACCGGGTGATTCACTACCGCTGTAATGAATTTTCCCTCCATTTTTTGGAATATGAGGAAATGACCTGCGTAGTCTCTCCCAGCATATACGCGGTTTGATTGGCTAGCGCTTGTACTGTCAGATTTGCATACCCTGGATTTGATTGGCTGATGCCAAGCATCGAGCCTCAAAAGTTGAATATTGTTCAACTTTTGATGCCGATAGATGCTTGTGATGCTTGCAAAGCCATGCCATGCTCCCCACAATGCAGTTCGGCGAAGTTTAAAAATCTTCTACGTCACCCCATTCAAATGAATGGGCGAAGCGTTGAAGCATTTTTCGATGCCTGTAGTGTAGACATCATCCAAGGGTGGTTTTCACTGTAAGTAAAAAATACTTTTTGGACGGACACTATAATTTACAGTTTTTTACTGTGTTCAATCTGAATTTACTTTAAAATAAAAACATCTATATTAACTCTGACTTTTCTGCATCCAACTCACAGGTTTATCATTACTTTGAGAACAAAGATTATTAATTTACCCCTTTTAGAAGATATGGTCATTTGTTCTGGGCATATCATTTTGGAGAATGATACCTGGAAAACAGGCTTGGAGCTAAACGGGATCGCTCAGGACAGTCACCTGAACATTCAGCTCCTATTTAATTGGAATGCTGATACAGCATTTTAAACCTGCCATAACTCCCAAACCCTCCACTCCTGGGACATGAGAAACGTAGGAAAGCATCTCGTAGCTTGAAAATAAAATAGAAATTAAACAAAATGCCTCTTGAGGGCATGAAGTGCCAACAACATTCAGCATGTCTCCATTAGGCCCATTGTAAGTCCAGCCTGATCTTTCCTCAGAGCAGCAGCAGCCGCACACCTTCAGTTCATCTGCCAAAAAGCCACATTATTGACCCGAAAGTACACAAAAAGCCGACTGAGACGCTCGTCAGGGTCCTCTGTTTCCTTCTTGCACTTGTCTTTTTGTCTCATATTGTTTTACAGCTTGTTGGAGGAGCGTGGGACTTCTCATTACCATATCTACCCTGTAGCTCCTGTACATAAAGCCTTTACACTTTTGAACCCTGAACCAGTTTAAGGACGGTTTTAACAAACATCTTAAAACGTTCCTTAATCAAGAAAACCCCAGTGTTTAGTTCAGTGCAGGTGAATGACCCCTTAACACCTGAAGGATGTTAAGGGATCCCTTTCCTTTGCTAAGGACAGTCACCTGCTTGCTGACAGCATTAAGCTCTTATTCTGTTCTACGTTTATATCCTGAAGCTCACTTATCCTGCTCTATTGTTTCATGTCTTATATATATATCTACATTGTTTGTTGGAGGAGCCTGGGACTTTCCATGACCATATCTACGCTGTAGCTGCTGTGTGATGATACAGATTTGACCTTTTGAACCATTTCTGGGACATTTTTAACAAACAGTGCAGGTAGAGTAGTTGAGATAGAGTGTTGAGGTAGAGTAGTTGAGGTAGAGTAGTTGAGGTAGAGTAGTTGAGGTAGAGTGTTGAGGTAGAGTAGTTGAGGTAGAGTAGTTGAGGTAGAGTAGTTGAGGTAGAGTAGTTGAGGTAGAGTAGTTGAGGTAGCGTAGTTGAGGTAGAGTAGTTGAGGTAGAGTAGTTGAGGTAGAGTAGTTGAGGTAGAGTAGTTGA